AAGGAGAGAGAGAGAGAGAGAGAGAGAGAGAGAGAGAGAGAGAGAGAGAGAGAGAAGTCAGATCAGAAAGAACGAAACAAATTTGAGCAAAGGACAGGAAACTGTGAAATTTAGATAAAAGACGGGAACTATTGAGCAAAAGTCAACTTGAGCCCTGCATTTGGAACGTATTATTTGACACATTTCGCACAACCAGCATATCCATTCTTTGTGGGGCTAAGCGTTTGGTTCACTGTGATACCATACGCTTTTAGTTCCGGTTTTTTTTTAAAAGCAGGGGTTAAACTTACTGTCACTCACCAATAAATTAGAAGAATTGGGTATTTAAAAAAAAATTTTAACAATATTATTATTCTTCCGCTTCTTATAGAAAATGCTCTCGCACAGGCGTCTGTGGTGTAGCGGTTAGGCTCCAGTTCGATTCCTGCATGGGGGTAATTATCAAATATATATCTCTGCTGGGACTAGTGGAAGGTTGTATCTCTCATTTTTTGGCTGACCCTGACAGGCAGGGTTGAAACCTGCCTCTAAAATAATCTAAATTGTGTCGATAGAAGCGAAAAGAACGCCTACATTAAAAAGAAAAACTCTTGTAACTTTCATTTGTGAGGCTGCGTGGTGGAATCAGGCTCTATAATGAAATCGAAGAAAACAGTTTTCTCCCTGCTTAGCTATTTTTAAAAAAAATATTTTTTTTGGCTCAACACCTTTCATGTCCTTTTACAAACACATTCCTTTGAGGATTTCACCGAAAACGTTGATTAAAGGCACGAAAATATAAATCTACAGTTTCTATGGACTCTCACGCATTGGAATTTACCAAGATTTGGCGGCCATTTTCTCCCTAATTTTATCTCTTAAATCAGGTGACCCCCACCTCCTTCAATCCAAAATATCTCCACTTCATTTGAAGATGTATGGATTTTTTTCATGGAAAACAAGACAAATGAACAAGCTTTAAGATGATACCAATAACTCAATATGCCCAAAAATTGACGAGACCCTGATTCCACCTCGCTGCCTCACATTTCTTTGTTAGCTTAAGTAAATGGAAGCACAGCGACACAAATATGGTCATTTACTTCTGGGGAAAAAGTAAGAGACAAGCACAAACAACAGAGGGAAAGTAAAGAAATAGGATCTGCCAGCAGCGCCCTACAACACCCACGCTACTTTCTTACCTATTTATCCGGCCTTACAATTCTGCGTTTCCTTCAGTCTCCTGG